AAAGCTATTCTAGTAATTAATCTTTCGCTAAAAAGTCAGCCGTAAATCAGCTGAGTTTACTGTTACTCCACTTTATGACGGCTGATTAAATATAACTCAGCTGTAAAAACATCTCATAACTCGGCCGGTCGACGATCAATTAACCAGCCGCGATAGTTAACTCAGTCGTGTGGTAACTAGAACTCAGTCGGATTTTCCAGGAACCAGCCTAAGGATGTATACGTCAGTCGTAATATCTGACCGTAACTCAGTCGTTATCAAATTAACCAGCCAGATTTTTTTAAGTCAGTCGTAACGATCGACTGAGTTATGTTCATAACTCAGCTTATTTCTCATAAGTCAGATAGGTTAGTTAAGCCAGCCGCAACGCACCTATATCTCGGCCGTTACGAAGTTCATATCATATTGAGGCTGAGTTTTATGCCGCATTCTTACGTGGACCCGATTTTTTGCCTACGTGGCACAAAAAAATAGTGGCATTCTTGTAAATATGTTTTTTCTCACAACGTAAAAAAAAGGGAACGCTGGGTATTAAAAAAAAAGGTAGTAATAAAAAAAAGTTTTGTATGGTTGTGATAATAATTAATAAAATTCATACTAGTTGAGTTAACTTCCCATATTTTTAACACTATCAACATTATCCTAATAACTAAAATGTGTCAGATTTAAAATCCATCAACAAATGATGGAACTCCGACACTAAAACTCTTTGAAATGAATCATAATACACATATAAAGGATCAATAAACAAAATAAAAACATAGATCAAACATTTAAATACAAAGTTGTACAATCAAGAACATGTGAAAAAATGTCATAACTTAATTAGATGTTGCCGGTTTCCAAATATAACACATTTTTAGATATTAAAATGATGTTGACGGTGCTAGAAATATAACACATAACTAAATTTTGACATGCGCATAAAAAGCGCGGATTTGTTTTTGAAATCAAATAAACTTTTTTAAATAAATTTCTGTATAATATAGTCCTTAGGTATGGGACACTGAATATATATATTCATTTAGTTTCAAAAAAAAAACATATATATATATTCATTTAATTTTGAATAATTTTTAAATTGATTATGTTTAGGTTCGTTAAAAGTTTAATTTAGCAACTTATGATATTCAAATATATAGGATATAATTCATTGCTATCTTTGATATATTCTCTAAGTATCATTTAAGATTTTTTTTCAGTTATTGTATCATTTAAGAGTAGTTAAAATATGGAAGTTGTTTGTCAATATGCAAAAGTATTAATGACACTAGGGATTAATCCGCGCTACGCGCGGACCTATTTAATTTTCAAATGTTAACTATTTTATTTTTGAAACACAACTTGCATTAATTCATATACTCAAAAGTAGATGTTGATAGATGTTGTATATTTACCAGCCTTGCATTATTATTTATTTCAGAATACAAAATGTATTCACATATTTACTTATTATTTATTTTACTATACATTTTTCAGATATATTTTTAATTTAGTTTTCTATTTTTATATTGTATACTTAATTATTCTTTATTTGTTTTTATTGTATATTTACTTATTCTAATATTGCGANTACATCAAATAATAATATTGCGACAGATGTTTAATGTAATATTTCTATTTCTTATATTGTATATTTACTTATTATTTATTTTATCTTATCTTATATTGTATATTTACTTATGTAAATATTTTGAAATAATAAAAATGTAAAACTCTACATTTTCAAATAGATATTTAATCTAGTTTTTCATTTCTTATATTGTACATTTGCTCAAATTTCTTACTTTATATCAAATGAAAACATTATGATAGATATTTAATGTAATATTTCTATTTCTTATATTGTATATTTTAATTATTATTTATTTTACTATACATTTTCGTATAGATGTTTAATGTAGTTCTTCATATTTACTTATTGTTTATTTTTTCTTATATTGTATATTTACATACATTATGCTAGATGTTTAGGATGTCAAAAAAAAAGATGATGTTAAGGTAATATTTCTATTTCTTATTTTTTATATTTATTATTTATTCTATATTTTCTTCTTACCTATTCTAATATTACAATATATGTTTAATATAAGATTTCTATTTTTTTTTGTATTGCATATTTTTTTATTATTATATTATTTTATACTGTTTATTTCTACATACAAATATTTCAAACTAATAAAAATTTAAAGCTTTACATTTTTCAGATAGCAATTTATTGTAATTTTTCTTTTCATTTTTTTATATTGTATATTTAGTTATTCTAATTTCTTACTTTTATATCAAAGGGTAATACTACGATAGATGTTTAATGTAATATTTTTATTTCTTATATTGTCTATTAACATATTATTTATTTTATATTTTATATTTACCTATTCTAATATTACAATATATTTTTAATTTACCTTTTCTATTGTTTTTATAGTGTATATTTGCCTATTATTTATTTTACTGTATATTTTTAAGATAAATGTTTAATTTGGTTTTTATTTCCTATATTGTATATTTACTTTTTGTTTATTTTTTTCTTATATTGTATATTTATTTATTTTAATATGTTTCCTTTTAATTTAAATGATAATTTTATGCTAGATGTTTAATGTAATATTTATATTTCTTATACTGTATATTTACCTATTTTATATTGCATATATACTTATTACTTATTTTATTATACATTTTTCAAATAGATTTTTAATGTAATATTTCTATTTTTTATATTGTATATTTACTAATTTTATATTTGTTTTTATATTGTATATTTTTTTTTTGACAATATAACAATAGATGTTTAATGTAATATTTTTATTTCTTATATTGTATGCTTACCTATTTTTATATTTTATATTTTCTTATTAATTATTTTATTATATATTATCCAGAAATATTTTTGAAGTGATATTTCTATTTTTTTTGTATATTTACTATTTTTTATTTTTCTTATATTTTTTATTTTTCAGATAAATGTTCAATGTAATAGTTCTATTTTTAGATTGTATAAGTTTTATATTTATTATATTGTATATTTATTTATTTTTATGATAATAATATTATAGATGTTTATTGTAATATTATATTTCTTATGTTATATATTTACATATTTTTATTTTGCATATTTGCTTATCTTTTTATTCTACATTTCCGAAATAGATATTTAATATAATATTTTTTATATTTCTATTGTATATTAAATAATTATTTATTTTCCTTATATTGTTTATTATTATTTTTTTATATTTTTCGAAGAGAGGTTCTACAATGATGTGCATGCTTCTTAGAATCTCAATTAGTCCATTTTAATAGAAGTACCATCAACATCAATATATATAACTCAAGGAGAGAGAA